TTGACCGTCACATTATAACGCCCTCACGGCTGAAAGGGCGAGCATGTTTGGTGTGACGGGGATTCGAACCTGCGACCCTCAGATTGCGAGTCGAGCGCCCTAACCTCCTGGCCATGCCGGGCCCGCCATTAAGGTACATGGAACGTGTCCAGCGAAGACATAAAATATTTACGCTAACCCTTGTACTGGAATTTTATCCAATCGCTATACCCCATCCGAAATATTAAACTAAGAAGCTGTACAAAAGTTAGATCGCATATAGAGGAATATTTGATCTGACGTAGTCTACCCAATCATCTAAAAGTGTTTTCAGTGACAAACTTGATCTTAAAAATATTTTATAAAAATTATTTTTAGAGCAGTCATGGAATACCTACTTTAGACCATATTTTCCAACCTTGAAATATTTCTTGAAGATACGTTTGCAAAAAAAAAAAGATGGATACTTTTCAGAAATTGTACACTTCAAAATATTAAAACCACAATGTAATTTGCATTCTTACCATTTGCATTCTTACCATTAGTGCCATTAATACGCTTTTTACCTTTAACACCAACTAAAAACCCTTTTACGGACGTACAACGCTAGAAACCAGGTTTCGATACCCGTGGTGGGCAGAACACATATAGCTCATTGAGTAGCTTTGTGCTTAGCTACAAATAAACACTCTACACTATTAAACAAATCTTGAAAGTCAGTTGTAATCCAATTAAACCTTACCAAATCCCAGTCATTGATAAATCATTAAACGATGTAAGACAAAACTAACATCTACTTAGAACATACAAAATACCCAAGATAAAAAGGAAAAATAAACTAGATGTTCTTATGCAGAGTCCCCGAAAGTGTTCTGTTTCAAGAGTAAATAAAACAAAAATTTAAGAGCAACAAATATTTTTATTTCTTGCTTTTTAAGTTCCTATGTCATGCTATGTTGTAGCCTACAGAATGCATAACTCTTCTCGTGATTCATGGCATGTGAACGTTTTACTGACGTCACGACAGAACAAATTGCAAAGTAAAGCGTCCCCTATGTCACGTCATTTTAGTGTCTACTGACTGACTGACAGACAATACACTAGTGTACAGTGGTGCCAGTGGTTAAAACAGGTGACTCCTTCTGGTAGGCTTCGGCCCTCTTTTTGGGAAATATAAGATAACCAAATTACAGGAATTATCCCACATATCAAACACAATAAAAACAACTTATAAGAACATGGAAGAAACTCACATAAAACGCACCATGGATAACAGAAAAAAAAACTGTTCAATGTGTTAATGAAAAGGTTTACTTATATTCATCGTTTTGACTGTTTTGTTTCTTTGTATTTTTCATTTTAAGAAGTCTGCAGTCTACCAAAAGAAAAAGGTCCTTGCCGAAACTTTACGGTCAAATGGTTCTTTGACGTGAATTATGGAGGTTGCATTAGGTTTTGGTACGGAGGCTGTGGAGGCAACAAAAACCAATTTATGTCTGAGGTCGAGTGTGAAGCAACCTGCACAAAACCTGCCGGCATCGGTGAAACTATTTTCTTTACACTTTTCTTTAAGGAGTAAAACATCTCGTATATTTTAATTCCTAAATTTTAGTACATCAGGCACGATATGTCTTCAAAACATTTTAATTATTTTGTGTACTCTCTTTATGTTCAGTCCGTTTAATTTCTTCCATTTAAATAAGCTATTTTTTTTATAGAGTAATAGATAAAACACATCAGAGGGTTATTATAACTCAAATGAAAATAAATAGCGAAAAAGACAAATAGATATCTGATGCTGCCCTTCGACATGGAGAACACCATATTTAACCCAAGGTTACGATTGGTTTCGTACACATAATCATGTTAACTGAAGCGTGAAGCTTGTAGAAATTTAAATATTAACACTTTTAACAACACTAGTGCAGTAGAAGGAACTTTACCTAAAAATAATGCGATAACCATAAGCAAGTATTTGTCCTAGTCAAAGAACGATGATTAATTTTTAATGATTATTTTGGTATTATAGAATATTTGGATAACTAACAGATAATTACTTCATAGTTATTTATTTGTTATAAAGTCTTTAAAAAACCACGTTTTAAAATAACCGCATGTAAAAAAAAAAACACTGTAAAGATAATATCTCAAAAAGCGATTATTTATAAACTGTCTAAAAAAATATTATAAATTTTTAGTGAATAAAAATTGCTCATAGATTACCTGCATTAATTAACGTTTGTTTCTCCAGATGCATGTCTTTTACCCAAAGTAATAGGACCTTGCAAAGGATCATATAGATATTGGTATTTCAACAAACACACAGGGGTTTGTGATCCATTCTTGTACGGCGGTTGCCTTGGAAATAATAACAGATATGCTACAAAAGAAGTTTGTGAGAAGACCTGCATGCAAAAATCTAAGTTGGGTATGTCATCAGCTGTAGAACTGTACTAACCTAAGGACTTTCTATGAATGAAAGTTCATGTACCACACGCGAAAAAAACAATGAAATATGGAGGAGAAATTCCTAATTATACTAAGGTATAAATTTATAAACATGGTGCTCTCTAAGAGGTAGAAGCATGGTGCTTTTGATTTTCAGTGAAAAACATTTATTTTTTTAATTTTAATTCAGAAAAAAAGTGTGTGATATTGTATTTTTGTAATGATATTCATATCTTGAACTCAAAGATGAGGCTTCTGCTTTTATTACCTAAATTTCTTTCAGTTATATACGTTTTGTCTTTTATTGTTTTGGTAATTTAACCACACTAAGACTGTTTATGGTAAGTTTGATTGTTCCTCATTGCACCTGAGCTATTTGCATAGTTCATGTTCACTTATTATTTTTATTCTTGTTTTTTCGTATGGGATCTACATTTTCTCGCGCCGATTTTTTTAACAGGACTTGAATCGTTTTTTTTTTCACGTTATTAATATGTTTCCTCGTTCTAAACCTTCTAATATAATTATATATAAGTTCACCGTTTTATATTTCTCTTTTGTGTTATCAATAGGGAATGTCGGTATAAGTGTGATAATTGTTTTGTGGTAATAGGCCCAATGAATGTAACACAGAGTCCAGATCGACTAGTATAATAATTTTCAGTTTGCAAAGACAACAAGGGAAAATAATGAATTCATGAATCAGATTCCACGTGAAGCTCACAGCTTAGTTGGCCCCTTTTTTCCCCATTTTATAAAAGTATTATTCTGGGAATATTAACGTACGTTTTTCTTTTCAGAAAACCCAATAAAAATTGTTCATTAATCATTTTAACTTGCATATATAAGTATATATATATATATATGTCTATGTATGTATGCATATACGTCACTATCAATTACTGGGTAATATTAAGAATTGTTCCTATGATTTAGTTACTTACTGTTTCTAGAAGGAATTTTTAATATAAGTATTTTAATCTCCGATATTACCAATGAAATCCCCATTCTATCTAGATTATCACGCATTCCTAAATATCTCAGATGTATATTCCAAGACGATAATTTACCCGTTAACGTTCCCCAACTCATACTGATCTTTTATCAACCAATCAAAATGTATCAAATAAGAGATCAAAAATATAATTTTAAACAATTACAGCAGATTTCTCACTTGTTGTTGTGGCTTACAACACTATTCAGTATTACAACACCACTCGTAAGATGTTCTTTCTGAACGTAACAAACCGAATATTATATATACTGCGAACCGTGGTGTCTGTCCGAGCGCTCGTCTGTTTCCCGTTTGAAAAGCTGCGCCTGCAGGCAAAGCTCAAAATTTACTTTTGAAATGATGGAAGAACAGGCATGATTAATGTTGATGCCAAATTTTATTTCACAAGCAGGATATTCCACACTACATTGTTAGGAATTAATCATACTATCATTCACATGTCAAAATGTGACGTAACTTAAAGAATATAAATATAGATTTACCGTATGTTATTTGTGGGCGGCTCTTACCATGACTGACATGCTCAACAATTACTTTTCGAGGTGGGCGGTATAAGTAGCTCAGAACTTTGTCTTCTGAGTTAAATCAAGAGTGCAACATAATTAACCTTTTTAAAGTTCATGAAATAATTTCAATTGATAGATTAACTTCAAATTTTCCCGTCACTGGGGACGGGTATTTTTGCTTCTAATCACTATTTAGTAGTTTGTCCCTTTACATACTTGCTTTCTTGGTCTTCTTTGCACTAAGTGACTCAAAACGCCCCCATAAGGTCTCACCATTGCACTATATCTTGAGCTATTACTTGGGCCTGTCTTCAGGTCAGCTTTGCTTTGGATTTCATTTTGGTTTTGGCTGATCTTCTCCATTTAGTTTTAGGTCTTCTTCCTCTCCTTGTCCTCTCAGAAGTCTAGAGCAGAACCTCTTTGATGATACTGCACTGTTCGTTTCATAGCACATGGCTTATCCACAAAAACTTTTTCTCATGGATGATACCAGATTTTGGAGATTATCAACAGTACTTTCTTCCATGTTTGCTCTATGGTATTTCAAAGCTGCCGTAAATTAATTGCCTTCTTTTATGCAATATTACTTTTGAACTAATGCCATAAATTGTATATTTAATTAGAATTGAGTTTTAAGCGCTAGTCATCCAACAACGTTTATATCACCAATACATTGTATTCTGCATGGTGGTATATTTTGGACTCTTATCTTGTTCAAATTCAAAGCCAACAGGCCATTGAAATGTCGTCCACTAGTTATCACGTGACGAATCAGGATGCTCTTATACCACAATTTTTGGCAATATCTCCTACTCCTGGAGCAGGTAAGCACCACCGTGTTTCACTTCTTACGTTCACTCTTGGTTTAAGCTCCTCATTATTACGGCTCCTCCTAACCACTCTCCTTAGTTTCCCAAAACTAAGTCTTTATCTCGCCGTCCGTAGCACGTTATTACATTCGTTCTATTTTATGATCATTTGCATAGCTTAAATGTATGGCTATATTCGAACATCGAATATCAGGCTTTCTGGGTGCAACGTTTCAGTATACACACCTTTCTAACGAGTGCCTTCGAACTGCTCTATTTCTAATTCCGTGTATGTCCTGATTGTATTCTCGTTTTGACTTGAACTGTGAGTTATTCTTGGACATCTATTCATCTTAACATAGTTTAATCTACCAATAAGTTGCTCTGATAATCTTGGCAAACATAGAAACATCATTGCTAGCTTCGTTTTACAGACGAGTTATTTAGTGCTCCTCATGTTACGTATTACAATTTCGAATGATCTGAAACCGTGCTAAATGATAATTTAAATTTAGTAGTTAAATAAATGCCGATATATCTCCAATTTATGATATTTGCCAACAAGATTGGTACACACAGTTTTCTTTTTTAATACAAATATGTTTTAATATACAAACAACAATACAATTTACAATTAAGAGCTATTACCAATAGTTAGTAAAACAATGATTTATATACAAGAGTTTCACAAACTTACAAGCAATATAAAGTCTTCTTTCTATTCTGGAACTTCCTTGATA